TAGACTACGAATAATTCATTTCTAGGCTGAAAGTGGAGCAAAGTTATAGCTGATTTGACCAAATTTTCTTTTCTTTGTAGGAATACTATCAGATTTCCTCAATTTAAAAACTTCAATAGGGAGCATTACAGACTGTATACAAGTGTGTAATCAGATTTATATTTACTTCATCAGAGAATTGATGGGGTAGGCCATTCCTATCATCCACAACAAGAAAATAAACTAATTGGTGAAGCAGACGAATATTTCTTCCTACGTTTGCCCACAATCTCAAAACCCACAATTTTTCATCATTCTTTCGGGCCTGTAATTACGCATAGACTTGATAGGTACGTGTGTAAGATTCTATCCAAGAACATATCTGTTTGGGATCTGTTATTGATCCTAAACTTTAGTCTTACTCGCAACACTTCCAAACAAAAGGCAAATCTGCAAATACAGCTCTCCATACCCAAACGCACATCACTGAAAAATCTCTCAAACTAAAGGAAATTTGTCTGGTTATCATTGAAGATATTGAAATAGGTTTCAACACTATATTCCTAAGTATAATAGCAAGCGCACTCTCGCGTCTGTGTATTGATGATGCGTTCATTAGTTTTATCAGTCAGTTGTTAACTGTCAGAATTATTGAAGCAGAGGTGAAAATAGACATACTCCCCAAAGAAAATTACCCTCTCTCATTTGGAATATAGCGATGATTGAGCTGCTACAAAAATTGAGGATAGCGGGCTGCGACGCATATGCATTGATGACATTGTGTTAATGGTTGCCAGTTGCTTTCACTCTAAATATTTTGACTGCCACACATCTCAAAACGAAATATCAACGCAACTCAACATTTCTCTAATCTGGGTTCCCGATAATAAAAATATTTTCGGCAATAACAAAGCAGATGAGCTAGCCAGACAGGTGCTTCAGAAAATCCCCCGAAATACTTCTACAATCTGGACTGTCGCTAACATCATACAAATTTTTACTAAGTTATTTCAGTACTAAACTTTTTAATGAAAGATGGTAAAACTCAAAAATATGTAGTCATCTGTGTGAAAGTAAGCCACGTTTCATTGAAAGAAAATTCAATACTCTCATTAAGATGTGCCGTGGAGATATCAGTTTTGTAGATGGTTTGATCACACGTCATTACAGTTGTAAATTTTACTACACAAATAATACCAAACAACACAAATATAATAAAAACAAAATAAACAACAAGAAAACAAACAACAATAGAAAGAAACTTGTAAACAACGAACCGTTGAAATCACAAGAACAAAGATACTGCTTGCTTCGCACATCACAAGTATAAAAGGCGAAGCAAACGCAGTAGACGGGGATTCAGCAAGACAGCGAGCTAAGAACAGGTCGCTCTATATTACATGTGCTGAAACACCAAGAATCGAAATTTACATCTCGATTTCTATTTTGTTTTTTTATTTTTTTTTTATTTTTTAATAGAAATACACATTTCTATTAAAAATCATAATTAATAACGAAATTAACATTTCGTTAATAGTAATAGAAATATAAATTTCTATTACTCTATTGTTCATAACGAAATCAAATTTTCGTTAGTAAATTACGCGGTAAGGTGATAATACCACATGAGTATTAGCACCCATACCAAATCCATTGTATGAAGAAGAAATTCACATTTCTTCAAACCTTTTGTCAGGGGCGTCGAAATTAACATTTCTACGCCAAAATCCATTGTATAGAGAAGAAATTCACATTTCTTCAAACCTTTTGTCAGGGGCGCTGAAATTAACATTTCTACGCCAAATCCATTGTATAAAGAAGAAATTCACATTTCTTCAAACCTTTTGTCAGGGGCGTCGAAATTAACATTTCTACGTCAAATCCATTGTATAGAGAAGAAATTCACATTTCTTCAAACCATATCACCGTACCAACGTCACCATCCACCGTATTCCACTGTTCCTATCAAATAAATTTATTGTAGGACTGAACCTTGAATCCGGCGAGTAAAACCCCGGCCAGAAAGGTTCGTTACACAGTTAAAGAAACCAAGCTAGAATATTGAACCTCCCTGTCAATTATTCCTATTGCAGTACTTGTCCAGCACATGCGCCGCGACGCTTCACTTCTTGGACCTTCTTTTTTGAGGATCTTGGTGAACTGCAAGATCTCCTATTAAATAGCATTATAATCTTCACCAAAGGTTGAAGGTAATTTTAAATCTCTTTGTTTTGTACGTCGACACAATGGACCTATATGCATAAATGGATCCCGCTGTGGCAGTCTACAAATAAGTATATTTTCCAGTTAATTGTTAATTCCAAGCAACCAAGCAACATATTACAATATTCGGGGAGGTTATTCGACTCAATAAAATCTAATTTAGCATAAAGTACGCCGATTCTAACTTCTCTACGTGTTTTAGATCCGTCTCAATACTGAATTATACTAATCTTTACACATCTTCGTTTTCGTTAATGTTGGAACCGACAGCAGTGCCACATCCAATAGTGCAATGTTTAGATCTCAGGGTAAAGCGTATTTGAGGGAAACGAAAAAGCAGATGACCTAGCCAGAAAAGGGACCACAACCATTCTGCGGTGCTTCATGGAACTTTTTAAACCTAAAATTAATCAGTGTCTAGAAAGAGCACCTCATACTGATTGGGATAATACAATTGCCTGCAGACAACCTAAAAATCCATGCCACATAGATCAAAAGCGAAAACGAGGACGCTACTTATGCTGAACAGAAGTGGCATCCGACTTGTCACAGGGTTTCTCACCGCGCCTTGTGAATTTAAAAAGCATTTATCGAACCTAGGTATTACAAGAGACGATAGCTGCAGACCTTATTGCGAAGTAGAAGAAGCAGCAAATAATATTTTGTGTCACTGTGATAATCTTGTTAGACTCAGACTGCGGTACTTATCTACTGTCTATCCACTTATAACGAAATTAGGCAACATCTCTCCAAAGGACATAATGACATTCTTAACTGCTATTCGTCTGAATATTTAATTAAGAAGTTATATATATGTATGTCAACAGCAGAATTGAACCACATACTTTTAAAACGTAAGTATAAAGTTGAAGACATACCAAATGTGTCACAAACATGTATTTTTAAAATTAACATTTCCCAAACATTATTCTTTTTCCTTTAAAAGATTCACTTAAAAGTGAAAATAATTTCTTTTGCTACATGTTAGTTCTACAATCAGTATGAATTCATCACACTACCTACGATGTGAACGATCACACGACAGTTCAAAATATTTTAGGCATCAAAATATGTGCTTTCATATTATTTAAATTACTAAAATTGCATGAAAAAGAGCACATTTCTCAACAAAAACCTGAATCTAAATGTTGTATAAAATATTATACAATACGTTTTGCCAAAAATGTTGTTATCCTGTGTCATTTCGTTCTTGTTCTCCAACAAAATGACTGCTGTGAAAAATAAAACCAGCCAACTGACATACAGACGGTATGGTTTTTCACAAAAAAAATTTGTGTCTATGTTGTTCTACTTCTACGTTGAACAATAATGCTAGTGATGAATTTTTTTACAACTACTAAATTTTTTATATTTAATAACGAGATTTTGATAATACGTATGACAAATTCGTATATAAAAATGTTAAACCTTACAATTTAATCTAACATGGTATTCAGAGCAATACTCTATTGTATTTGCACCACAGCCATATCTTCAATTTCATATAAGTTGGCTTCGATGACTTATTCTGTAAGTTTTTGAAACAGTTTATCTAAATTATAATCACGAAACTGGAAAACCTTTATATTTAATATATACAACTTTTATATAATAAGGTAAAGTCCCAATTCCATTAAAAAAATGTATTAGTTATTTTATAATTACCTTGATTTATTTTAAAACGGTCATTCCTATTTTGAGACATATATATTCATATGTATGTATGTTTTCCATTTACATTTTTATTCTTTGCAAATACAAGAATGTATAAAATTATACGTACTATATATAATTTTATATTAATAAAATAAATCACACCCAAATATCCAAATATCTTGATATAATATATAAAATATATAATATATTAAGTTTTCAATGTTTTCCTTACCGCCATTTTAATAAAATTTTGATAATGCAGCTGTTACGAGTATTACCAAATACTCATCATCAGGGGTTTTAGAAATAATTCTTGTATTTAATTATTCGTAAATAATTTTTTGAAACTGCAAGTACCAGGAATCGAATTCGTGCCCTGCCAAATTTGAAGCTCAGATTCAGCGCTCTTTAACAAACTGACCAAAAGCCGTACTTGACTTGTATGTTCATACTTAGAGCTTTTTGTTAATTTGCTGTGAAACTTCATTAACAAACTCAGTTGTGTTATATTAGAACGAAATCATAAACCCTATGTAGAATAATTGAATTAATTATATTAATATTTTTAATTGTTAATTTTTAATAATATAATTTTATAGAGACATTATTTATTGTATGCTTTTATATTATTCTTTCTTAAGTATAGAATCTAATCTAAGAACGTAATACTGAGAAAGTCATGCTAATGTTATTCCATGATTCGCAGACGAGAGACTATTTTTTTTTAATTGTAATTTAACGTCAGTTATTATGAAAGAATCTATTTTACTTAAAAAAAACTATTTTACTCAATAAAAATTGTTCAAGTTCACTACTTTTCGAAACCTCTCTACCAAATATATTAGTTTCTATTAAGTAAAATAACAAAAAAATGAAATTTTAACATTTTTTGTTTATTTATGCTTCAGAAACATTTTTTTTCTTGATGTTATGTCAACAGAAATGTGTTCAGTCAATGCCAAGTTGTAAGAAATTTGAATATTTTCTTTAAATTACATATGCAACATTGCCATTGTCTATTTTCATTTCATAATTTGTTATAATATCATCTATTCTAATAACAATTTGATACTAAATATAGTCCTAGTTATTCAAATATGAGAAATAATTTTAATTATACATAATAATACGTGTATACATTTTAACACATTGCGCTTAACAAAAATGTTTGACACAAATTTTGCTGTCAAACTTGCGTGGCAGCAACCGTTGGTCAAATTTTATTTGCAAACGAATTGAATATACCGGCAACGTGTTATTGCTGTCAACCTGTCATATACAAAATGTTTTATGCAGTTGAATATTAAAATTTGTTTGGTTAAGATAACGTTGAAAGTTTGTTACTTAAAGTTCAGGGAATTGCATATAAATATATAGTGTGTAGAATAATGGAGTTGTCAAGGAAAGATCTGGATAGAATTCCAGAGTCGATCAATTTTCCAAATGAAGAAGAAGGTATTCTGAACTTTTGGAAAACTGAAAAAATATTCGAAAAATGTATGGAGCTTTCAAATGGAAGGCCAAGGTAACTGTTTTAAAATGTTTAATATTTATTAATAAGAAAGTGTTTGACTTTTTATATATTTTTCGTCATAACCTCTGCTGAGTCTTACGTGGCCGATGCACGGAAAGAAATATGTTGTAAACACCACAAATATTTCATCATAAATACAGTACACTGAATCATGCAAATTGTCAAAAAAATGACTTCATATATATGAAATATTAATATTATTCAAATGCAATTTAATTTAATTTATGTGAATAGTAGACTAGTACTCAAACAATAGCATCATTTAACTATTTTAATTTCATTACCTGAATTCCCTCTAATATCAAAAAAGGATTAAATACTTATATATCCTGATTTGTAAACATTTAAATTATTAATATTCTATGTTGCGCTGACATCAAGAAAAACGCATATAATCAAATTTGTTATACTAATTGGAAAGCTATCGGCAAAAAAGTTATGCATAAAAACGAATTTATTTATTAATACATTAAATATAAGAGCACCAGTATTGCTAATAATAAAAATATTGTATAAATATGTATTAATACAATAGTACTACTAATAGTTGTTCATTATTTGTATATATACATTTCATCACAAAATCTACAATTGCAATTTCAACAAATACATATTTTTACTATATAAAAAAATATTCATACTATACTCAGGTCTGGTTAAAATCCTGAAAGTTTACGGTAATTATTGTTCGGTTTTAACAAATACATATTCATACCATATAAAAAAACCAGGTTTGATTAAAATCCTTAAAGTTCATAGTAACTTTTTGTTCAGTGTCAATAAATACCTACCTATTCATACTATATAAGAAAACCAGGTTTACCTAAAATTCTAAAAGTTCACAGTGATTTTTTGTTATTTCAAAATCTAACTTCAATTGGAAAATAAAAAAAAATGTCACGGATTGGAGACATTAAATCAACATCATAAGTTAAGTACCCATAAGTACCTATAATCGCTTTGTACCAAAGCCGACTTACATTATGGCCTTTTTTTTCAACTTTTATTTTGTATAATAATAAATGTATAATATAAACGAAAGTTCCGAAACTTTTTCCCATAGCGAATTTTATTATAATTATTTTCAGATACAATTTTTATGACGGTCCTCCATTCGCTACTGGCTTACCGCATTATGGTCATATTCTAGCGGGTACTATAAAAGACATTGTTACACGTTTCGCCTATCAGCAAGGTTTTCATGTTGACCGTCGTTTTGGTTGGGATTGTCATGGACTGCCTGTTGAATTTGAAATTGATAAAATGCTGGGAATTCAGGGTCCAAAAGATGTTGAAAAATTAGGCATTGATGTATACAATGCTGAATGCCGCAAAATTGTGATGCGCTATGCGAATGAATGGGAAGAGATTATTACGAGAATGGGTCGTTGGATTGATTTCAAAAATGATTACAAGACCCTTTATCCATGGTACATGGAAAGTATTTGGTGGATTTTTAAGCAACTTTTTGACAAAGGTTTAGTGTACCAAGGTGTAAAGGTAATGCCATACTCTACTGCATGTACAACACCGCTGTCAAATTTTGAATCCGGCCAAAACTACAAAGATGTTGTAGATGTGTGCGTAATTGTTGCACTGAAAGCGATTGATATTGAAAACACTTATTTCTTAATTTGGACAACAACTCCTTGGACTCTACCTTCCAATTTAGCTTGTTGTGTGAATGCCAAAATGACGTATGTGAAGGTATAGTAAATTATGTCAAATTTAAATACAATTTATCATTTAATATATATATCAAATGTAATAGGTGCACGATGTTAAAACGGAAAGGTTTTATATATTAGCTGAAAGTCGTTTAAGTTACGTCTACAAAAATGAAACTGAATATAAAGTATTGGAAAAGTTTTTGGGTGATCACTTAGCTGATCAACATTATGAACCTTTGTTCCCTTACTTTACACAATGTGAAAATAGTGACAAAGCTTTTCGCATTCTAATTGATGATTATGTTACTGAAGAATCCGGTACTGGTATCGTACATAACGCACCTTATTTTGGAGAGGATGATTACCGCGTTTGTTTGGCAAACGGTATTATAACTAAATCCAGTAAAGTATTGTGTCCTGTAGATGATTCTGGTCGCTTTACTGAAGATGCAACAGATTTCGTTGGCCAGTATGTCAAAGATGCAGATAAAAATATAATAACACTTCTAAAAACAAAGGGCGCTATTGTATCAGTAGGACAAGTCAAGCATAGTTATCCGTTTTGTTGGCGCTCGGATACACCATTAATATATAAGGCTGTGCCTTCATGGTTTATCAGAGTTGAACATATGTCAAAGGATCTGCTTAACTGTAGTTCACAAACCTATTGGGTACCAGAATTTGTTAAAGAAAAACGTTTTGGAAATTGGTTAAAAGAAGCACGTGATTGGGCTGTAAGTTTAACTGCTATAAATATACCATAAATTACATATCATATATTTTCCATATTTTTGTAGGTAAGCCGTAATCGATATTGGGGAACACCTATTCCTATTTGGAAATCTCCAACTGGAGACGAAATTGTTTGTATAGGTAGTGTGAAACAGTTGGAGGAACTATCGGGAGTGAAAGTTGATGACTTACATAGAGAATATGTTGATAAGATCGAAATTCCGTCATCGATTCCCGGAAGACCTCCTTTACGCCGTATTAATGATGTATTTGATTGCTGGTTTGAATCGGGTTCTATGCCATATGCTCAACAACATTTTCCATTTAAAAATGAGAAAGAATTCATGAATAATTTTCCTGCAGACTTTATTGCGGAAGGCATTGATCAGACACGCGGTTGGTTCTATACTTTATTGGTAATATCAACAGCGCTTTTTAATAAGCCACCATTTGCAAATCTCATTGCAAATGGTTTGGTTTTGGCTGCAGATGGCCAAAAAATGTCGAAACGAAAAAAGAATTATCCTGATCCTATGAACATCGTGCATTTGTACGGAGCGGACGCTTTGCGTTTATATTTAATTAATTCGCCTGTTGTGCGTGCTGAGAATTTACGATTTAAGGAAGAAGGGGTTCGTGATATTATAAAAGATGTGTTTTTACCTTGGTACAATGCGTTTCGATTCTTGTTACAAAATATTGCACGTTATGAAAAAGAATATAATGAAATTTATGTGTATGACGAAAAACGACATGAAACGAGTTTGAAAGATGCATCTATAATTGATAAGTGGATTATATCTTTCAAGGAATCACTTGTGCAGTTCTTTACCACAGAAATGAAGCAATACCGTCTATACACGGTAGTTCCACGTCTGACTAAATTTATTGATCAATTAACCAACTGGTGAGTTATTTATTGTAATAAAAGCATTCAATTTTGAATTTGTTTCTCGACCTGGTTATGTTAATAATGCTTTTTTATATATATTTTATTTACGGCTACAGGTCGACTCTTTTTAAAGAAGAAAAAATGTAGAATATATTAAAAAAATATTAAACAAACGTTTTATTTAAAAATTGTGACCTGTAGCCACAAATAAAATATGTAATGAAAGCATATTAAATTTATAAACAAAGTATACTCTTAAAAAGCACAAAGATTTTTGGCAAATTCTTACTAATTTTATTTATTTTTTTATTTTTACTTTCATTAAATCATCTTAAAAAATTTTTTATTTTTTAGGTATGTACGTTTGAATCGTAGACGTATTAAGGGTGAATTTGGAAAAGAAGACTGCATCCTATCGCTCGATACACTTTTTAATGTCTTGTTTTCTATGGTTAAGATGATGGCACCGTTCTCACCATTTCTGTCGGAATACATTTATCAACGATTAGTTCTGTTACTGTCTAATGCTTCCGCAAAGAAAACAGATTCGGTGCATTTCCAAATGATGCCAGTATGTAATTCAGTATTTATTTGCACGGACATAGAAAGATCAGTTTCACTAATGCAATCCGTTATTGATATGGGTAGAATAATGAGAGATAGACGAACAATTCCTGTTAAGTATCCCGTTTCGGAGATTATTGTTATTCATAAAGATGAGAGTTGTTTGAAGGATATTAAATGTTTACAAAATTTTATTTTATCTGAACTGAATGTACGTAACTTAACATTGAGTTCAGATAAAGAGCTGTATGGTGTCACATTACGTGCTGAACCAGAATTTAAAGTAAGTTATAATATCAAATATTTCATGATAATAAATTATAATAAAAAAATTTTAGTTATTAGGTAAACGTCTTAAAAATAATTTTAAAGCAGTAATGGCTGCTATAAAAGCACTATCAGACGCTGAAATAAATAAACATTTACAAAATGGATATTACGATATCCTTGGTCAACGCGTAAATCTTGAAGAAGTTAAAGTTATTTATAGTTTCTCTGATAAGGTGAGCAAGAACTTTGAAGCCTGCAGTGATAATGATGTTCTTGTATTAATGGATATGACGCCAAATACTGAATTGTTTGAAGAAGGATTGGCGCGCGAAGTAATTAATCGTATTCAAAAATTGAAGAAGAAAGCAAAACTCGTGCCAACGGATAATGTTGAGATTTTTTATAACATCAATGGTGCTGAAACACAGGAGAGCAAGCAAATTCTTAATATAATAACTTTGTACCACGATATGATCACCTCGACTGTCAAATCCAATGTCCAATCGTTCGATACGGTTAAAGTTGCACAAAAGCGAGTTATCATTACGGAAGCTTGCGATTTGAAAGGCGTGCAAATGACGCTAACAATTTGTTCAAATGAAAAGCCAAATATACCGAATTTATGCTGGTTGAATATAGTACTTGCAGATGACATTAAACCCCGATATGGAGTAGTTCATAATAAGGCAAGCGTATTATTGGAAAACACTCAAAATAAACAATTCATAACTTTGCCTGAACTGAGGAAAGAAATTGAAATAATATTTGGATTATATGGAACTAATTTCGATATGTTCATCAACAATTCGGGCAAATTTCTGCAGTTAAATAATATTGACAAAACTATTAATGGCAAATTAGTTGTTGTAACAAATGCAAATAGCGTTTCTGATAATTCTAAATATGAAGCTATATGCGTACCGTTTTGTCAATTCGAAAACAAAGAAAATTCTGTAAAATTTATTGAAAATCCTTGTGGCAGAAATGTTTAGTAATTTAGAAAAATCCCGTATTTAAATTTTTTGTAACGTAAATTTAGTTTTTTATTTATTGTTATTTATAAATTTTTTATGTACAAAATCGTAATGGAAAATTTTACATTATAAATTATAAGTCGAAGAAAAATGTTATAAACAAAGTTATACTGAAACTCAATATTAAAGACAACCTTGATTTCTTTTATTTAATAATAAAATCTGATCATTTTAAAATTTAATTTTAATGCAATTATTTTTTTTAATGTAACTTTCAACATTTTAATATTATACGCTTAAACTTTTTCAATGAACCATTCCTTGTAATTTGATAAATATTGAAAAAATATCTTTCTCGCATACAGGTTTTCTTGTACCGAGAAACCAGCTCTCTGCTTTGCAGAATGTGTACAGAAAACAGCCTGTATAAAAAAAATTAATGTTTTTCAATGACTAACATAACAGCTTTCAATTACTGCACAGTTTTTTTAATGATACTATTCGAGAAGACTCAGCGAGCCAGCCCGACTAATGGTTTGCTGTCCCCAGTTGGTACTACCTACGGTTAATTATAACGTATTTCCTAAAAGAAAGTAAATACAAAAACACATTTGCTAATTCAAAGATGCGAGATTTTTAGTTTTACACATACATTGTTAAACGCATAAAGAAAAAAAAAATATATAGTAAAGTTTGAGAAGGGTTTTTATATTTAGTATGACTGTATCCACATCAAGGGAACTGCAGGTTCGTTTAATTCAAATCGAAATAGCAAGGGCTTCAGAAATCTTTCAAACTCACTCGTCATTTTAGGCGAGCAAGATCTGCCCATCCTTCTCAACAGAATTCAAAAAGGGATTATGTATATATTTTGATAACTGTCGCCGTTTAGCCAAGGTCAAAGGAGCAAAACTCTCCTTTCCTGCCGTTCTATCGTCAAAATGAGCAACCACCGAACTTTTGTAAGGTGCAAAGGTAGTGATAATCATATTAGAAGGCTGCATTTTGATAATTTTGCAGTGCAACAAACTTTCCATAGACGTCAGAGTAATTAAACACGTATAGAGGTTGCTGTTCCTTGTAAATCTGCCATCCAAATGTAAGCCAATACTTAACACTGGTACTCACTAGAAGAGTATAATATCAGCAAGTCAGCAAGAGTAGTTTCCTGCTTCATGGAAAATGTGATATTAGCCGATTTATCTGTATTAACTCAATGTTCAAGCCAAATTGACAGGGAGAAAAATTCTTCTTGGACTAGTTCGGAAGTATGCAAGCTTAAAAAAAATATATTTTAAGAAACTTACGGTACGATACCTAAAAAATATTTTGTACGGTAATTAAAATACAAATTTTATTATTTTTTATTTTGTTTATTTATTTTATCGAATACTACTTTAATATTATGTAAAGTAAGTAATAATATATAATTATAACGCAATCTTAACTTATTTTGTGTTCAAAAAGAAGAAAAATTAAATGAAACAAATGCAGGTTTAAGAAATATGAATCTGTATGATGATGATTTAACTCTGATCCATCGATATCTCCGCATTATTTGAAGAATCCTTTTGAACATTTTCAAATACTTTATTTAACTCGGGAGTATCCTTTATTGATTTCAAAAAGTCAAGCAGTTGTTGATTTTTATCTATAATAAAAATAAAGGGACATATGAGAAAATTGTAACTAATTTAATTTAAAAAATATTATTATTTTATTTACCTGCTTTCGGAATTTGTAATAAAGCGGAAACGGCTCTCAAGGCGGAGCGCTTCAATTCGTCTTGTTTCTCATACTCTTGTTTTACTGAATTTGCCTTAACTCTGTGTGTGCAGGTTTCACGAAGTTGGCGGACAAATTGATCAAGTCCTACAAATTTACATAAAATATACATAAATATATTAAAAAAAATAATATTCTATTTATTATATGTATATACTTATTAAAACTGCATCTGGGCACAAAACAGCTAAGCGTGCTGTCATCAAATAAGTCAACATTTTTATATCATAGTGATCGCAAAGACCTTGTTGAACATGATCTAAGAATTGCATTACATCTACGCGATCGAGTCCTTGTTCTAACAATGTGTACATGCACTCAAAAGCTGCTTTTCTTATATCCAAGCCATCATCTACTGTGTGTTTAAACGGACCCATTTCAACTTCACGTATTAATTCACTCTATTCAAGAAAATCGTATACATTTTTTAATTTTAATTTTAAATAATATAACAGTATATATTAATTAATAAAATAAAAAACGAAATCAAAATTTATTGGTAATTTTTCAGAAATCACATTATTTCAACAGACGCAAATTATGTATTATAATTTTATGTTTTTGGAGAAAATTCAAAATTACTTATATTTAAATAAATAAAATTTATAAACATACCTTTATTTTAGTTTCGGAGTACAACCATGGTAATAAGGTAGGTAAAATTACTTATATTTAAATAAATAAAATTTATAAACATACCTTTATTTTAGTTTCGGAGTACAACCATGGTAATAAGGTAGGTAACAAATCACGCACTAGACTTGGTTTATTGTGCACTGCGGAGTTAAATGCAATCAATGCCACACGTCTGACAGACGGTTCCGGATCGCGCAATGCATAAAGAAATTCACCAATATTTTGTTTAAGTAACACATCGATTGGTTGAGGTTGATCAGAAATAGTAAATTTAATAGCTGAAACTACAACAGTACGCATAAGTGGACTTTTGTTGTGAAGCGCAACTTGAAGACGTGGCAACAAATCTTCAGGATTAACAAGAACCAGCTTGCCAAGACATTCTGCTACAACGTTTCGTGATCCCTCCTCAGTACACTCACAATATTTGAAAAGCTGAGCCCATATTGATGGTACCGATGGTAATAATTGGGCTAAACCATTTGGTGTATTAGAAAGTGATGAAATGACCTCTTTAAGTGAATGTAGTAATAAATATTGACGTTTTGGTTGAGCTTCAATTTCCTTAAGAATTAGAGGTAAATATGTTTGTAAACTACCAACGGAAACAGCACCAAGAGCATGACTTGCAGCACCCTTAACATCTTCAGAACCAGCTCCGAAGCACTCAATTATAGTTTGAGGTAAAGTAGGAATAAATCTGAGGTCAAAATGACGACCAATTTCTCCAACAGTTAATAAACAGAACACTAATTGCGTGTCAGTAACGGAAGAGTGTCTTTGTAAATCTGACAAAAGACGTTTTGCCAATGGTACAGCTTCTTGAGGACATTGTTGCGTTAATGCTGCAATGCATTTTGCTAACGAATGATAGGCCTGCTTGTGTAGTTGTTCATTTGTATTAACCACATTAACGCTGTTATCATTGCGTGATGTCATTGGTTCCATTAGCTTTTTAAGTAAAGAATTGTAATCTAAACCTGGTAATTGTGTACAAACAAGTCCTCTAAAAAGATCCAGGCAACAGGTGAGCGCTGCACCCTAATAAAAATAAAAAACAAAAAAGCATTTATTTTACTGTATAAAAATTAAGCCATTTTACTTACTTGAAGTAATGGTGACCGTACTAAGACAAGTACTGAAGGCAAAAAGTAATCATGTATACCAATCAATGCATGTGGTTGTTTACGAGCAGTGGTATTTAGTAGAATTAAACAATATTGTGCAACATGCAAATCAGAATCTGAGATTAAAGGTTGTATTTCAATAATAGCAACTTTTAACAATTGAGGTTTGAAATTTTGCGAATAATTTTCAACAATTTTATTCAACAAATCTAGCGAATGAAGTTTGAGAGCCCTTTGATTCTTACGCAAAAAGCTTCCAAGTATTGGAATAACATCGTCTAAAATCGGTGAAAAGTCTATATGCAATGGTGAGGCAGCGATCATTGTAAGCGACTTAACAGCGCTTAAGCGTGTAACTTCACTTCTTAAACGTTCCATGAAAAGAGGAAGGCAAACAATTAATTCGGGTTGAAGAAAATCTCCCATATTAGCAATAATCTGACCCATGCATGCGATAGCACGTTCTTTAACTTCCTGATCAGCGTCAGTTGCTTTAAGTTTTTGTAATGTTGACGAATAAACGTTTTCAACAAAAGGTGTTATATCAAAAGAGTTTGTTGTAGGTCCTAGTGTCGGATCAATAGGACGTAGAACTTTAACTAATTGCTGTAAAACTTGCAATGCTTCCGTTGCGATCTTATAAAATGGATCGAAAACTGCAGTTACGACAAGTGGTACTAGTAATGATATATGCGAATGAAAAACCTCCGGCTGATGGTTTTGTAATAGTAAACACAAAAATCCCAAAGCTTCGATCTTCATATTACTAGAAGTATATTTATCATTTAGAGAATAACTAATACCGGGCATTATTTTATCTAAATATGGACCAAGTGCACCTGGCAATGCATTCAATAATTCACGCAACAATAAAAAGCAATCCTGACGTGTTTTAATTGATTTTTCTCTCATTAATGGTTGTATAGCTTTAACAATATGAGGCAATTGATCTAACAATAACGAAATTGGTCCAGGCATTTGCTCCATTGAATCAGGATCGTGTATTATATCATTAGCTGGACGTGTATTACGTAGAAGTGCTATATATGCATGAAAAACATCAGATTTAACATTTTCTTCGCGTTCCTTGAAACGTGATATTAATGCCGGACTGAGATTCCTATAAAAATCTTCAACGAGATCGGTACGAGTGAAAATCAATGATTCCAAACATTTTGCAGCTGCACGACGTACTTTCCAGCTTATATCATCGTCGTCACTATATGATGATTCTTCAGAGTCTATATAATCTTCATCTTCAGTATCCATAGCAACTCCTCCATCACAGTCATCTGCCTCATAATTGTAATTTGGATCATAAGTTACATATTTAAGACATAATTCAAGTATCTAAAAGGAAAAAATTTCAATATAGCACCTATTGGTATAAAATGGTATATATATATATATATATTTACATAAAATATGTAAAATAATTTATAAAATTATACGTATAAAAATGTATATAAATATATATATAAATATGTATATAAAACATATATATAAAAAATATATATAAAATACATATATATAAAATATATGTATATAATAATATTAATATATTAATTATAGAAGTAAGTATTAGTGTTGCTGAAAAAGCTACGCTTTTTTTATATGGTGACAAAGAAGCTATATTAAAATTTAGAAGGTTTTCGAATAACAAAGAAAGAAAGAAAGGACAAACACAAACATTTATTTAATTTTATTGAAATTTGGCTGACCATACAACGATGTTTCGAGTATTGCCAAGTGCTCATCATCTGTGGTCTTAGGAAATAATCGAATTTCTTAATTAGTTAATAGTCCGTATATAATTTGTTTGGACTGCAAGTGCCAGGCTTAGAACTTATGCCTGTCTAATTAGAAGCTATGATTAATCGTGTTTATTCACAAGTAGCCAAGGCTGCGCAAACTTTCAGTGCTCTAGTTCCAGGTTTTTCGTCACTTTTTTATTTAATTAGTGACATTAACCAAAACACTTGCCGTGGTTTAAATTAGAACGAGCTTGTAAACTACAGCTTTATTTGGAAACACAAGTTCAACAAATTAAAAGTTAACTTTTGAGTTTGACTATTTTTTATTTTCAAAGCTATTCTTTTTGCATAAAACACCATTAAAACAATGCAAAAAATACAATATAATGGAAAAAAGAAAAAAATGAAATTGAAATATATTGCAGCCGAATGACATCCATATCTAATAAAAAATAATATCAATAATAACAGTTTGGCTGTAATACATATAAAAATAACATTTATAATAAAATATATATTGGCACAACAGAAGATCACAAATACGAATAAAACAGACGTAAGCAAAAAACATATTTTATCCTCCATTTTTTGTCAGAAATCGGTATCAAGATACCAATAGTGTGAATAGTTATTAACAAAGAAACAAAGAAAACTCCAAACATAAACATTTTTTAAAGTAAATAATCTTTTCTTTCATAAGCGGATTTACTGGGCATACCTACACTAGCGGCAACTTTACGCTTAAAAATATTTTCTATTACGTTTACATTATCGCTAAAGTTAAAGTTTCAACTTCAGTTTTATGTAAATTTGTGTTTAATAGCAAATACACCTAACACCTCTTCTATTAAACATCTGTTTTAACCATCAAGCTGTCGCTAGTGTAAGCTGATAGTCTCATCGGTACATACCCACTTATGTTATGTTACAAATTAAAAATTTTCTTACTAAATTTTGTTTATAACATTTTTAATAGTGCTAGTAGTATTTATACGGGGAACCCCAGATTAGTTTTACTATTATTAATCATACTAATACATTTTTCCTTTGTTTGCTAATACCTTGCAACACACATTAAAATCAATTTGAATCATTATGCGACAAAAAATTCCAGCACGTCGAAATCTAATTCAATTTTAATTTTATATTTTATTTTTTAAATATTAAATTTTATAAAACAGACTTTTCTAAACAGATTGATTTTTTTTTGTTGTTGTAAATGTTCTGCATTTATCACAAAAAAAAAACAAATATATTCAAAACAGATTTATATTTATACACAATTTTACTGTCGCATAATGTATTCAATATAGCACACAGACTAATTAAAAAACTTATGACACATGCATTTACTCGTTATCGATGTAATTCTATATGCAACAATATTTACACGATGTGTTTTTATTACACCTAACAATAAACTTTGAAAGCAAAACATAAGTTAATATTAAATTTAGTGTAATCACTCAATTCTCAATAACTTATGCGTCATTTCATTTCATTTGTGCAATATAAATAGAAAAAGATATTCAATAATTTATATATATCAAATAGTATAATTAATTACCATTGAAACCTGGGGACGAACCGCTTCTGGACAACGTATGACAAAAGCCTCACAAGCTTGTAAGCAGTACTCACGTAATTCATCATCTTCACGTTGACTATACTCCTTCAATAGCAACATTGCGCGATCAATATAATTGCAAAGACGATGCCCGGCTTGACGACTATTATATTTTAATTATTATTGATAAATATTTCAAATAGAATCACATTTACTCACCATATTGAGGCCAAGCACTGAATATAAGTTCTTAAAGTAACCGAATTTTTTGGTTTTTCTAAACCTTCAAGAATATGCTCAATGACTTCATTGTAAGCACTATTTTGTGCCAAAGTTAAAAGATGAGATAGAGCAACAATGGTGCGTTTACGAACAGCCTGACGTGAAGATCCCAACTGTGGAAGCAATGCTCTCAAAATGGTATTATGAAACGGTACAAGAAAATCACCAAAACGTGAAAGCAAATCAGAAAGTATATCTAAAGCTTCTAGTTTAACTGAAACGTCTTCCTATAGAATTTAATATATGTTTCGAATAAATTTAATATATGACAATATATTATATACATATATATATACATATATATTTCAAATATACCTTTTCAATAGCGTTACTAAGCTTTCCTGTAATACGTTGGCAAACGTTTGGCGCTAATGAATTAGAAGTTTGCGGTAATTCTGAAATCACAGTTTTTAAACCAATACTGGATATATCACGCAATTGTTCAGTGCTGGATATCATATTTGCGCATAAAGAATCCACTATCATCTCAACTTGATTCTCTTTAACCTTATTAACCAAAGGACCTAGGCATTTTACCGCTAAGTTCTGTACCTCACCATTTTTATCCTCCAAAAGCTTTAGTACCATACGCACTACTTTCTTTTCCGACTCATCATCTAGTTTTATGCTATCTTTTTGTAATTCCGTCATTAAATCATTAGTGGCCATAAAGCGAAAATCCTTGTCATTAGATGTCATCTGTTGAGAATATAAGTTTATTTGTTAAATAATGTATACAAAACTAATGGTACAATAACCATTAAATAAATTCCATGAACGCCTCACCTTTTCGAGCAAATTTGCAATTTGATATTGGTGATTCGCCATGTTTGTCTAAAAAAGTTACAAAAAAGTTTATTTGTTTATTAAACCACTTTTTTGATTCTTATATATTTACTTTTTGTTATTTAGCTACACTCTTAATAATGAATAATTAAAGAATTTAGACATAAAACAAATCACTGTCCTCGTAAAACTTCAACATACAATTTTTGTTATTAAGGAAAGATTGCAGCTTTGCCGGTCATAGAAGTAAAACGAAACACAGCGTAATAAATGTGCACAAGAACTATGGATTTGTGGAACACGACGTCTACAACAGCATTTCCATTGTAATATTGACACACACACAACCATTCTATATGCGACAGAATGAACATAACAACTATTTTCGTAGTACTTTATTTGGAGTTTACACTGTTTAGATTTTGATAAGATTTTTCTGTTCAACTATTATTATGAATAAATTTTATATAAAACAAACACTTACATGTGTTGGTACATATATGTATGAGTGCAAAAATCTTGCTAAAATTTTGCCAATGTAGACGTTTTGGCAACTACAACGTTTTGACAATGTTACATTTTGGTAAGTTTTTTTATATTCAATGCACATTTGTATAATTTTCGAAATATTCCATTTAATAAATATTTTTGAATTAAATTAAACCGAAAGTGTGAACTGCAAGCTTGCCAAAATCTAGCCAGTTTGGAGGCTGGGTGAAATTCGATAATTGAACTAGCATAAGACAACTATTTTAAACCATGGGGTCGTATGCTCAACCTTTTAACCTTTGATTGAGTAATAAAGTACATAAACATATCACAACGCCTCACTAATATCACAATCACATTGTCTCAGTTAGGCGGTTTCACTCATTATATCAAATGAGAATGATTTACTATACAAAGTGTCTCTATATAAATGAGCTCATTTACAATAAATCAGCTTATTTTTGACCAAAAATGCAATCTTTAAATATAAATTTTCCACATTACATGATACGAAAACGTATAAAATGTAAACAAATGCTGATATAAAGTACGAAGAAGGTATTTAATAAAATGTTTGTTTATATTAATTAAATATGTAATTGATATATGAAATGTATATAAATGATTTATTTAATTAATTTTATATATAAATTTTTTATATGATATATTAATAAGTGAAGTTTATAAAATTGTATAAAAGTTCTATCAGCTGCATAAATGAAGTCATTATTATGTGAACGGTCAATCATTAATATAAATAAGCAATTGCCTACATGAGACAGTGTGAATGTACTATAAAATTGGAATTTTTTTTGAAGTACAAAAATTCATATATCTTTAATAGCATTCATTATTGATACATCTAGGCTTACCTTAAATAAACTAAATCTGGGAAAGTCATCCATTTTTACAACAGAGAAAATTTATTTTTTTAATTTACAAACTATTTTTTACAAAAAAATAATTAAAAATCACTGCAAACAGAAATAAATAAATTAATACTAGGAACTACTTTTTAATGTTTAGAATAAATCGTATAAAATCGTAAAATGTGTCAAAAGTTTTTTTTGTATTCCATTACAGTTATAAAAATGAATACTACAATTTATCTTGATATACTGTTCTGTATGAAATAACAAAACACAATGGACCAATTTACATTATCATGAACGTAACATGAACATAAACTTGAAAACCGGTTTCCGCTAGATGAGAGAGTGTAGAGAGTGTGATGTTAGTTCATGAATTTCAAGCAATGAAATTTGCTGCGTTTTTTTTAGCTTGACACACATACATGTACAATGTCATGTTTTGCTGTTTGTGAATACTTCAAATTCCCAGCGGGACTTTCAGCGCTGAGGGAATCGATTCCCTCAGCGCTGAATGGTAATGCCTAGCGCTGATTATTCAAATGAAACTCCTAATTACTTTAACACGTGCATGTCATTGCGGGCAAGCGCTGAATCGTTCGATTACCTTTTCAAATTTGTAATGCAACATTTCAGCGCTGACATGCTCGCTTACCTTTTCGAATTTGTAATGCAACATATCAGCGCTGACATGTTCGATTACTTTTTCGAATTTGTAATGCAACATATCAGCGCTGACATGTTAGCTTACCTTTTCGAATTTGTAATGCAACATATCAGCGCTGACATGTTCGCTTACATTTTAAATTTTACCTATGCTATTGATTTTTAAATAAAATACTATAAATTTGTTTGGATAAATTATATTTTATATTTATGTTTTATACAATTAAAATATTAATATTTACATAAAAAAATATAACATACTTATATAGATGAATATTTTTCTGGAAATTGTTACTAACACCTTGAAGAGATTTCCAGACTCGACTCGATCACTTGTTCCGGCTTACAGATGACTTGAGTACAGATGACTTAAAGCATCTGTAAATACAAAAGTATGTTATTGTATACGCTAAAGTTAATTATGTACAATATACCATACCAAAAAGTGCTGCTGTCACATTCTCTAATGCTCTTAAGAACTTCTTGCCTTGGGTACCATTCTCCAAAATTCCAGGAAATTTTTCGCGTAATTGATTGTTTTTTAATAACGCGTCTCATTGATGCAGTCTATAAATAACGTAATAGATGAAAAGAAATGTATGAATTAGTAAAATTGTTACATGTGAAAATATTAATAAGTTGAAATTGAAAGTAAGAAATATATATAATTTAACTTACAACTACTTCAACGGCAGTGATTTCTTCATTAAATTGAATTAAATCCTCCTCAGTTTGAATTGTAAAATTTTCCAATTGAAACAGCTGATTACCCCTTGCTTTAGAATGACTGCATTCGCAGCACATTGGTCAATTAATCGTTCTTGACGCAGTAGCTTCTACATAATACATAAAACAAAAATTACAATTATCATTTTAAATATATTTACTTAATTTTGCATATACTTACAGTGAGTTTATGTGAAATTACAAATTATATTTTATTTATATTTTTGTTTTTTATTTGATTTTAAAAATTAAAAATTGTTCACTGTTCGCACTTCACTAAAATCGAAAGCAGACTAAATGTATACAATGTAGGCAAAACAAGAAATTTTTAACTCATATGCTTTTCTTCTTCATTCTTTTATAATTTCAACCCCGAAATTGTCTATGTCAAACACAAATGTCGAAAACAAAGAAAAATAAAAACGAAGAGCTATTACCTCCTCGCTTACTTTTTCAGCGCTGGCATAATGGTGCCGCTGGGTTTCTGTGCTATACACTACTACACACAAGCGTTTTATACGTTTGCACAAAACAAAACAAATTTCACTCTAAATGACACTTCATGGTAGTGTAAACTGAACTGTCAGTTCATGTGAGATACTCATCATGTCATTGGCATCAAATTCTGCTGCATTTGCATTAATTATCACTAGTCAATTTGTTGCTGGATATCTTGCCAATAGGTTTATTTGGTACTGCCAACAAAGACCTTCCAATTAAGAAATCTGCAGATGATAAAGCTACTCTATCGTCACAAGTGTCATGCAATGGTATGAACGAACGTGAATTCAAGCAAGCTTCGACATGCACAAGTAGAGTATGCAACTGATCATAGTAAATTGAATGGGTACCGACAAAGCCTAGTTAATGGTTCTTCGCTGACTTAGCGACAGCTTCACATAGACCGCCTTGTATGGTGCGCCAGATGGTAGAAAATGCTATTTCGTGCCTCGATAAGCCAATTGCTGTTGAGAATATTCATTTTGCAAAGTTTGCAGTTCCGAATCCATTGTCACGAATCGGGTATGCGTTTATAAACGCCTCAGAGATGAGATCTTTAGCTAATTCGATGAGCACTGCTTTGCTTAACATGGCCACAAAGATTGCTACGTAATCCTTCCTTACAGTTCGTTTTTGAGCCAATTCGTACATTAAATGGACTCCAATAAGCTACGCCAGATGGCGAGACAAGGTGACCCGAGTCTTTGGTAAGTTCGCCATACGCTGTTTCAGAATTATGTGTTTATATCGCCTGCAAATCGCGCATGAGTGTGTTCATTGCTTGACCAAAGTGCATGCCTATATAATCCAATATTTATACCAAATAGCATGCAGCATAAGCCGTGCATCGCCATGAGATGTATTTTGCTGCAGCTGTGATATTATGAGCCTAGCCAATATGTTATCCTTAGGAAGTATAATCGAATGACGCTATGCCTCTGTCGACCTCGTATTATATAGGTGCCCACCTACCCGTAAAATATTATCTGCAGTGGTGTTGGTGACTGTATTCCATGTAATGAGTTTGCTGAATGTGAATATGGGCTGTGCCTTTTGCAGCTGCGTGAGGTCTGCTGTGAAGTATTTTGTTTGTTCACCTGCACAGATGTATAAATGTGAGCGCAATTGTGATGTCTCTTTTTACAATGCAATACGTTTGCAGTGGTGAGCAATAGCTTGTCAAAATGTCTAAACTTAACAAATCTAACCTTACTCTTTGATGCGATGATATAACTAATGATTTTGCCATCATGCTTTATTACCAAATAGAGCACTGCAGCCATTGCCTTGATACTGGCATCACAACAACCAAGAAGTTGTGTTTCATCTTCGGATTGCATGCCATAGTTTCACAGCATCGTTAAGCACTTGGTTTTAAGTGAGAGGTGTTGTGTCATTGGAGCTTACACGATAAAAAAGCTCATAGGATAATGGATCCCAATGTAGGTCAAGAACTGTAGTTTCTGCCAATTATTGATTGACTTCAGCACTATTTGATTTTCATTTTCTGAGACGGAACTGACTCTCTCCCAACACAAATGAGACATTGGTCACCAGTTGAACTCCCATGCCAATAGAAGGTACACTCTTAAGGAAATCGTCTACATAGAAGTCGTTTAAGATGCATAGAGCTCGTAAGAAACCAGATTTAGCTTATTGTTGTTCTGGGAGTTTAAGTAATTGTATCTGCCACATTGTATGCGATTGAAATTTGCGAATAGGTTGATCGGGTGATTCTCGCCAAAACATTTGTTGCCACTGCTTATGACTTTCATCGACTTTCACTTGCCTGAAAATATTTTCTACATCAGCTGTACGATGCTGCCTAATATGGCGTTTACATTGACCGAAAATGGCTCATTTTGGTCAAAAATCGAAAATGAGTATCGAATGGCTCATTCTTGCATATAAAATTTCAAGCACAAAAATGAGCAATTTTCTCACATTCTGTATGAAAGACGTTCGAATGCATTCCACATATGTTCCAAATGCAAAGGAATCTATTGAACATACCCTAAATGAAAGCTCTTCA